GGGAGATGGAGCAGCCACTGCCACAGGCTTCCTCTTTCTCCAACAGGCCCAGAGCATGGGGCCTCCAGCTCTCTGGGTCCCACCGAATCCCCAGGCCCCCCTGACACGCCGCCAGAGGGTTGCTGCATCACAGCTGGAGGGGGTTGAGCGTGAATTCACACCACACTGCTTGGGGCGTCTCAAGCCCCGTGCGGGAATGGGAGCCCTCGGGTTCTGAGAACCAGCGCTGTCTATGCAGAGATGTCCAGACTGCGACACTGACTCCTCCCAAGCTGTTGCCATCATCTCTCGGCCTCCGCGTTCGCTTTGTAAGGACAGGAGCGGGACGTCTTCCTCTCTCCACACCCCAGGGCACCTAACACAGGACCGCCCACAAAGTAAGGTCTCAGCACCCCCAGGACCACTTGGCCATCCTGGGGACTCAGTGCCCCTAAAGATTAGCTCTGCAACCGTGGAGAGCGAGCGGGAGCAGGTCTAGGAAAGAGGCCCTGCCCTCTGGCCCCTCTGAGCACACCTTCTGTTGGATTGACTTCAGATGAAAGTAAATCTGTGTGAGTTTGTAGGGTCTAGGACAGGGGTGGGCAAACTTTTTGACTCGAGGGCCACAATGGGTTCTTAAACTGGACCGGAGGGCCGGAACAAAAGCATGGATGGAGTGTTTGTGTGAACTAATATAAATTCAAAGTAAACATCATTACATAAAAGGGTACCGTCTTTTTTTTTTTTTTAGTTTTATTCATTTCAAACGGGCCGGATCTGGCCCGCGGGCCGTAGTTTGCCCACGGCTGGTCTAGGAGGAAGTGCAGGAACGGACATGGCAGGAAAAATGGACCAGGTCTTTGCACCCCAAGACCATTGACCACTGAGGGTTGGCCCCGCTTTGTGGAGGCTTTGGTCAGGAGGAGCTGGGAGAAACCACCTGGGAGAAGTCCCAGAAAAATGTTCTCCTCACCCCGCCACCCTCAGCCCCAGGCCCAGGCAAGCACTCTCCATGGTTGCAGAGCTAATCTTGGCTAGAGCAGAAGTCCCCAGCCACCAACCTGTCTTATTCCACACCCCCATGAACTTCTTCCCAATCCCTGTTCTGTCCCACCATCTCAGATTTCGGGTAGCAGGGTCCCTTTATGATCATGCATTTTGATTTTTCCTCTCCCTCATGCCCTTGACCAGTCCCTCTTCCTTTTGCTCCCTTCAGCAAGATGGCCTTGGGAGCTATTGATCTGCCTTTGACCTACAGCCCTCCGGGTCAACCATCCTCAGCCTCACTCCCCAGAGGAACCCTGAACGCTCTAGTAACCTGCCCCAAGGTGGAAGTACGGTTTCAGTAATGACAGCCTTTTGTGGTTCTAACTCAGGGGTCAGCAGCCTCTATGGCCCACAGGTCAAATCCAGCCCACCATTCTCTAAGTGAAATTTAATTGAAACACAGTCACACCCATTCATTTGCATAGTGTCTGGGCTTCTGTGTGCTTCAATGGCAGAGCTGAGCAGTTGTGACAGAGCCTACAAGGTCGGCAAAAAGCCTACGATATCCACTCTCTGGTCTGAAGTCTTGTTGGAATGAGGTCCTGTGGTTGTGTACGAGGAAGTGGCTCTTGGTGTTTTCTGCAGAAGTTGCTTGAGCCTTTGGAAGGCATCAGTGAGTGAGTGCCTTTCCACAGACAGGTGGCAGCAAAAGAAGACACAATTGCTATCTTGTACCCACAAAACAGCACAGTCACCCCAATAGTGAAGAGGATATTCTTGCTCCAGGAGAGCGAGCTGGGGGTGGAGGTCTGATCTGGGCTTGGAACAGGGCAACAATTCCCCAATTTTCTCACCACTTCTCTCGGTGAGAGCCTCTTGGTGCCACAGGGACAGAAACAAAAGTGTCGTCATTAACAGAAACCTGTGACTTTTGTCTAAAGTAAGGCGTTTTGACTGGTGTAATACTAGATCTCTCTACCCATTGGCGACCAGGTCTCATCAAGGGTTCAGGACTTGTATTTGCTCCCTGTTCCTCTCATCTCAATGCAACTATGTGAATCATGAATGGTCAACACTTCCCACACAGGAGTGGTCATTTAGTAGTAGGGCCATTTTCACTGTGGGCTTGATGATAAGATTGTTGACGTAAGAAAAAAAAAAAAAGCTGTAGAGAAGTTTTATGAGTTTACTTGAGCCGAACTGACGACAATTGCTGGGAAACAAAATCTCAACAGACTGAGAAAATGCCCTGGAGAATGGCAGTTTTGCAGCTTATTTTGATCCAGGAGAATCAAGGGGGAAATGTAAGGGGAAGTTATAGGAAATCCATTGGTGGTAGATTATTGAGGCGGGAAAAAGCAAAGCAGTTTTGCAGCTTATTTTGATCCAGGAGAATCAAAGGGGGAAATGTAAGGGGAAGTTATAGGAAACCCATTGGTGGTAGATTATTGAGGCGGGAAAAAGCAAAGCAGGGAAGTCTCTGAGATTGGATAGAGAGAAAAGCGGAGAGACACATTTCTTTCCCATTGGTGGGAACAGCATAGTTAACAGTCAACATTTACAGCACATGGAAATTATATTTGGGGAACAAGGTAACAATGAGAGGTTCTGTGGTCTCCTGCTCTGATGTGGTGAGTCCAGAAAAAAAGGGATTTCTCTGACATTAAAGAGTCTATTATCTTAAATGCAAAAGACAACCAATAGACAGGCTCAGTTAAGACTGACCTTTGTCAAAGAAGCTGCAGGCCTAGGACCTGACTACCTGCCATGACCTACTCTTAGTTAGGGATTTTGATGCTCAGACCATTACCCTCTGTGGTTACTTTTGGTTTTTGAGTTTGTAGGGCCTGCCCTGCTGGCCTCCCTTGAGCTTGTCAGGTTTAGTAGGTGGCCCCTTTTTCATCCACAATATTAATAATGATATAATTACTACGACTATTCTTTCACACATGGGACTTGCTCTGCCAGAAATTACGTACTTTACCTCATGACTCGCGTACTGCCAGATTCCACCCATCGCTTTGTCACAACAAGCCACGCCCCCTCCTCGGTGACTATGCCCAGGGTTGCTCAGACTCTGCCCTGTATCCGACACTAGAATCCAGATCAACTGGGGCTCCTACTGGTCCTGCTCTGGAAGCATCTCTGAGGCACTGCCGTATTCAGATGTCTTGGGGGCCTCACCCCACGCTGTTTTGAAGCCACACCATAACTTACAACGGACCCTCATCATCATTGCTCTGGAAGTTGCATCTGAGCTGCTACACCACCTGCATATTCAGTTCTACGAGCATGATGGTCGCCAATCCTTCCCAGAGGCTCCACTCTCTTTAGCATCCTTGACCTTGATGGGAACTGTTGGTCTCAGGGTCCTTGGGAGAAGCCTCACTGCTCCTTTCTGACGAGTTACTGTCTTTAGAACGACTCTGCTGCTGTTGCTGCTGCTCCACAGACTCCCGGGATGCCATTGCTTTGTTTGTTTATTCAAAGGACAGTGCCCAGCACCTTCTGTGTGGACAGAGTGGACAGGACACAGTCTCGACCTCAGAGGAGGCTGCGGGCTAGGTAGGGGAGAGACCAAAGCACAGGAGAGGCATAGAGCACTGGGTGCAGTGGGAACTTGGACTTGGAAGCGATGGCTCAGGAGGACTTCCCACGGGGCTAACATCGAGATGCATTTTAAAGGAGAGGCAGGAGCCAGGCAAAGGGATGGAGGGTGGGGGTAGAGTTACAGGCAGGAGCAGCAACTTATACGTTAACCGAAGGCATAGGAGAGAGTGAAAGGTCTGAAAAAAAGTTTACCTCTGTTTTCCTTGACTTACGGGGCCTACAGATGCACTCACAGTGCCCAAGACTCCAGACCCCACCAGTAGCCGAGCATTACAGGTGACAGTGTCCCCCATGGGAACGCAGACCAGCCCCCACTTGGAACACAGACCCCTGGGTCGTACCATGTGGCGCTGTTCCTTCCTTCTCCTACTGCCCCTGACACAGACTGCGGGTCCACCTGATCCTGGCATGGGTTGGCCCTTCCATTAACCAAGGGATATTTTCCTAAACCACTCTGATGAATTTCACTAGCGTAACGTAAGGAAACAAGTCTTAAAATGCCTTTTTGTCACGTCTTCAGAAGCTCCATAGCATCTAGACCACCACCCCACTCTACCAAACTAGAATAAGCCCAATTCCCCGTCACCCCCACCACCAGCACCACCTATGGAACCCTTGGTAATGTTCACTAGATGCTGTTGGCCCTGCCCTATTCTTACACAACTGGTTGAAAATTACGACTTGTCCTGTCATCGCATAGCTTTAACTTGAGAAAGGCATAGAGAAGACGGAGACCCCGTCCCAGTTCTCAGAGAGAGAAAACATCTAAAACGTTAATCTGGTGTTTGTGCTTGACTTTATGGTTTCCGTGAGGTTTGTTCAATTGATGCCAGCAACATCTGGAACTGGGAGTGTGTCTTGTCACATTGCAATAAAAGGAGGTTCCCATGGCTGGGTTTCCCTGCAGGAGGTGGAGCAATGGAGGGTGCGAGGGTGTCGGAGGGCAGGACCTGTGATTTTGTCTAAGGACGGAGCAGCCATTCCATCGGCTTAAGGCAGGACCCAGCAAGTAGAGAACTGCCACCAAGAGCAGGTCCTTTGCACCGTTCTGTCCTTTAACCAGCCAGTTCCCTTCTTCCTTCACCTCCCCACTCCTTTACTTCTAGGCTCTTAGCGCTCTTCTGCTCTGAGCCATGATGTTAACTCTTAACTCTAAATCTATCCCCCAACCTTCTCCCATAAAAAGATTTCTATTCACAAAATAGAAATATTCACACACAAAAATCCCCACAAAAACACACACCAGAAAACCCCAATGTGCCGAGGGACAGATGCAGGAAATGTCGGAGTGAAATCAGTTTTAAGACAATAGGGCAAGGGTGACTTCTTTTCCTGCCATAAAAATTCCTGTACAGTTATTATGATCATATTTTGTTAATAAAAGTGATATATTTTTATTTCTTTCTCTTTCCCTCCAGATTTTTGAGTCGACTATATTGCCAATCTTTGATACATTGGGTTAGGGTTACATGCTGTCTGCTTAAAGCTTGCTACTCCCAGAAGCAACTGTTCTCGGAAGATGGATTCCTGGAGTCAGCTGATCACCAAATGCTGTTTCTCTACTGTCATCGCAGTAGCACAGCTGAGAGTGTAGGGAAGGGGTAGGTGGTGATGCCCCGAACCTTAACAGTGGGAAAGACCTTGATGGTCATTTGGTCAAATCTTCCTTCCCCCCAAGTGGTGGAAATCTCCCCCAAAACACCCAGAGCTGCTTGATTGCTTCCAGCGATGGGAACTCACTTCTGTGAGAAGGCAGTTCAGCCTTCCGGTGGTATTGTTAGCAGGGTCTCTTTGGTTTTGCTGAAAGAAAATCTGCCTTCCTAAAAATTCCTTTTACCAAAGCAAGTTAGATTCTCTGGAGCTGAAATAAGTCTAATCCCTTTTGCCATGTGATAGTAGGTTAAATATTTAAAAGTAGCCACCACACCCCAAGGTTTTTCCTCTCTAAGCAAAATAAAATCTTAAAATCCTTCACCTATTTCTGGTGTGACTTATACACAGTCGACCTGCCTCTAGGAGTCTCTCTAGTTGGTCAACATCCTGTTCAAATCTGGTTCCAAAATTGGGCTTGAACTCCAGGTACATTCTAGCCATGTGCAAAATAGAGTGTGTCTTACAGCTCTTTTAGCAGCCCTGGGAGGCCATTTCCTCATGTTGAACTTGGAGTAAATATTCATTTCTTCCTCCTGTCTCTGCCTCTCCCCAACCCTTTATCCCAAAGGTCCCATTCCCAATACCATCACATTTCGGGTTAGGGTTCCAACATAGGAATTTCGGAAGGACACAAACATTCAGTTTATAACACTACATTCCCCTCTCCCCCAACCCCTGGGAACCACCTTTCATTCTACTTCATGTTTATGACTCTGAATAGGGATCTCAGGCAAGTGCACTCATACAGTGTTTGTCTCCTTGTGACTGGCTGATTTCACTTAGCATAATGTGCTCAGGGTTCATCTGTGTTGTCGCGTGCATCAGGATTTCCTTCCTTTTTAAAGCTGAATAACGTTCCATTCTATGTATATACCACTTTCTGCTTATCTATTCATCTGTCGATGAATACTTGAATTGCTTCCACCTTCTGGAGAAGTTTTGAGTCAGCACATATTCGCCCAAGTCCTTAGTTTACTTGACCTTTGTCAACAGAACATAGCACATATCATCCAACAGACCCTTGATAAGAATTTACTAAAATTCTGTCTTAATCTCTCACTTACTGTGCTCATTTGCTGAGTCTGGGTGTGTCAATCTTCAGTCATCTTGAATTTTCTTGTCGGGATGAGTCTCTGTCTTCAGCATGCTGGTGCTGACCTCAGGAAACCTCTCTGGGAGCGTTCTCACCTTAACTCTTGCTCTTCCACACCAATTTCTTTGAAGAACTTTTCTGATTAGGCCTTTCTGGATCAAATTAATCCTCCTTTCCAGAGTTGGCAGGCTCTGTTATAGTTCAGAGTTGAAATGTGATTTCTTCCTCGCCAACGTGAAATATGTCTTAGTACATTTCCTTTTAATTAAATGACTTGGGGTATTTTTATTTCTCTGGATGAATCCTTCTCATCAAGAGGCGTGATGATTCACTTGGGAAAGCAAACTGAAAATTTATGTTGCTCATAAACGTTTGACAAGAAGCCACTTCATACTCCGGGAGAGGAAGTCATAGGCTTGCCATATGGATGGTCTATTTGAGAGCCTTTGGTTCTGAAGTAAATACCCATCCAGTTGGGCGTCAGTGTGAGCAGCATTTATCTCCACGCCACTAGGTGAGACCATATGTGAGTTCATCCCTGTAGACCCACCCCTGCCGGCCACTCCTGGCTGGACTGGTGGCCTGTGTGAGAGTCACATGTTCACCTCAAACAGGCCAAGTTGGTTTGGATTTGCAGTTCTCAGCTTCTTTGGGGCTTTATGCCATCCTACAAGAATGTAAATTCTAAATTCTCTGATAATAGAAGCTTGTATAATGCCAAACACGAGCGCACATGTCATATGTCACTGGCCTAAGTTTAATTGGAATACCTAGCAATTTTGAATTGCCTGACTAAACCAGTTGTCCTGCTGTGACCCTACCCCTCGCAGCTCTTTGTGTGGGTGGAGGGCAGGAGTTTCCTCCTTGGAGTAGGGAGGAAATGCAGATGTCCTGGAGGAAGCAAGGGCTTTTTACAAATAGAAGGAGACAAAAGGAAGAATTGTACAAGGGTCCTCTAGAGCAGCGGCCACCAACCGGTGGTCCGTGGACCACTGGTGGTCCGTGAGGTCTGAAAGGTTGGCGACCACTGGTTTAAGGAAATCTTTGGAGCAGCGGTCGCCAAGCAGTGGTCTGAGGACCACTACTCTAGAGGACTCAGCTGCCCAGGAAGGTCTGGGAATGCCTGAGGCTACCATCGCTGAGAGGCAAGAGCACAAAGAATGAACCAAGACTGCAAGTGTCTGAAGGACTTGATTTAGAAACCATTGGAAAGGTCAGAATTGATTTAACTGGGGCCGAGACTGCCACACCCAAGAGGGGTGAGCAGTGGTTCGAGGACCGCTACTCTAGAGGACTCAGCTGCCCAGGAAGGTCTGGGAATGCCTGAGGCTACCATCGCTGAGAGGCAAGAGCACAAAGAATGAACCAAGACTGCAAGTGTCTGAAGGACTTGATTTAGAAACCATTGGAAAGGTCAGAATTGATTTAACTGGGGCCGAGACTGCCACACCCAAGAGGGGTGAGGGGTCTGACATACAGAGAATGTGGGGAGGCCGCTCAGCCCACCGCTGCAGCTGGCTCGGTTGTCTTGACACAGCAGTCTCCTTCCTAAAGACTTCAAAGTCTCCATCTTTGTATATGTAGATGCTATGCTAATGGCTCCTCCCAGACTGTGGATCAGCAGCAGGTTCACCCACTGCCCATCCTAAAAGGATTAGGGAAGTGGGGCTGATTCAGGGCATAACCCAGATAGGATGCAGGCTGTACCAGTCAGCAAGAGCCTGGGCTGTGTGCAGGCCTCAGACCCGCATCACGTTCCCCGTTCAGCGGTCCTCCAGCAGGGCTCGGTCTTTCCGGGGCCTTCTTCTCTAAGGCTAACCCCTCACCAGTGGGCTTGCTCTCTCACTGGCTTATTTCCTTACAGAGCAACACATTTCATCTATGAATGAGCAGGACGGGGGCCTGACTCCCTCATTAATCGAATCCCACTTGCACGAGGTTGACTTAACAGTTGAAAATCAATCACTACAATTCACCATGCTAACAAAAACAAACCCATGTTTTTATCTCAATACATGCAGAAGATGCACTTGGAAAAAAATTAGCATCCATCAAGGATTAAAACCTATAGCAAACAATAAATAGAAGGGAACGTTCTCAACTTGGTAAGGGGCATCTACAAGAATTTACAGCAAAATATCACACTTAATGGTGAAAGATTGAATGCTTCTCCCTTGAAATTGAGGAAAATGTAAGAATGTCTACTTTCACTTCTTCTCTTCACCACTGTAGTGGAGATCCTGGTCAGTGCAATAATAGAGGAAAAATAAGTTAAAAGGTATAGAGTTGAAAACGCAGTATAAAACTGCCTTTATTCACTAATTACATGATCATTCATGTACCAAACCCTAAGGAATCTATGAAAACAAATAATTGCGTTTAGCAAGTTTTCAGGATACAAGGTTAATTTACAAAAATCAGTTGTATTTCCCAATACTATAGACAAAACACAAACAGAAAATAAACTACCATTTGTAATAACATCAAAATATGAAATAGGAATAAATCTGACAAAAGATGTGTAGATCTGTATACTGAAAACTACAAAACATTGCTGAACAAAATTAAAGACCTAAATAAATGAAGAGATATGCCATACTCATGGATGGGAAGAGTCAATATTATGAAAATGCCCATTTTCACCAAATTGATCTGCAAAAATCAACACCATCACAAACAAAATCCCAGCGGGATTTGCTGTAGAAACTTCCTGATTCAAAAGTTGATATACGTCTATCAGATCAACATGTTGTACACCTTAAACTTACTGCAAGGTCAAATGTCAATTACATTGCAGTGAAAATAATTTAAACATTGATATGTAACATTTTCCCTCCACACCCTCACCCCTAACCTGAACCACAAGTTTTGTTTGTATTAAATTTTTCCCTTTCCTTTTTATTTTTACTTCTGTGGGAGTCCTATTCTTCTTCCCAAGATAGTATTTGGCTCCCTCCTTTCCCTAGAATTGTCATGGTGGTTGCAAAGAAACATGATTATGTGTGATTCAAAATAAAAAAGTACATCGATTTATCAGTTTCAAAATATTTCCCCCCAGGAAAAAGAATGTTCAAAAACAGGATGGGCTTCCTTGGAAGAGCCTGAACTCTCAGTCCCTGGAAACATCCAAGAGAAACTGCACTATCTTCATTCAACACTCACTCACAAACACCTACCATGGACCAGGCGCTGGGAATACAAGCGGTAAATAAGGCAGACATGGTCTTCTATCCTCCCGCGTCTTAACATTTAGAAGCATAGCCAGGATCACAGAGAGTAGAGATTTAGACGAGGTGGCTCCACAGTTCTCTCCTAGGGTCTATAAATGTATGTTTCTGGGATAAAAAAACACACGCACACACAACCAAAACCAAAACAGACCTTTGTCTAGTAAGGCAAATGGTTCTCTTGTGCCCTCTCTGTTTGGGGTTTGACGGTGGGAGACTGAGTGCAAAGGAAGGAAGAACCCCAACACCTACAAAAGCACCCTCTGGCCTAAAACAACAGAATGTGCCTGGCTCCTTCATTAATCGAATCCATCTTGCACACGAGAGCTCTCGTGAGCCCCTGCCAGAGGGAAATGTCTAACACATGGGCTCAGGCCATTCTTGCCCCCGGGAAAGCGTGGAAGGGACTTTGTCAGAAAACGCAAACCCATTTCCAGGAAAGCCCACCTTCTGGCCTTGTCCCCTTTCCCTGGCTCTGGGTGCTGCCTCGGGACCCTCGGCTCGGGGACAGTGAGGCGGCTGTGAGCCAACCCAAGCCATAGTGTGCAGATGGCCTGGCATTCGGGGACATTCTAGGCCTATCCCTCCAAGAATTCCACAGAACAAGGACGGTTCCAGGAAAATGGGGAGCTGTAACGAGGCTCATGGCTTCGGCACACAGACCAGCACAGTCCCCTGAGCAGACTGGCCGGAGTCAGGCCGGAGGAGATCATTGGCTTCTCCTACAAACAAACCGCTTGGATTCCCCCGCCTTGTTGGACATGCTCACTGCTCCCTCCCTAAGACACGCCTGGGGTCTCAGCCCGGGGCCAGCTGCAGCTCTGATACCTGGGAGCAGGCGGGAGGCATTTCAGTGAGTGAATGGGCACCGGGTCACCACCCCGCGAGCAGTTGTGCCCAAAGCGCTCTCTTGCGTCCTCCGCATCTTTTTTCACGTTCCGTCTTCTTCCCGGGACGTTCTCTGCCTTCTGTCCTGGGGAAGCCCAGCTCTTTTCCCAGCGTTATTGTAAGTGCCACCCTTTCATGACGCTGTCCTGGGCTCCTTCAGCTCCAGGCAATCTCTCTTCTCACAGCATCCCATAGTCAACAGTCTACCACACATTGCAGAATGCCGTACGAATTACATTTTTTAATTAAAATTAAATTCCAAGTAACTTAGAGACCGTGGCTAATTCTCCTTTTACATCTCACCCCGCCCTTAAAGCAGGATGATTCCTGCCCAGAATCATCTAATAATGATTCCACCATTAGACTAAGAGAAGCCTGGGGGGATGGAGCTGAGAAAACCGGCTTTAGAGCAGAACCTTCCCATACCTGCAGAGGTCACGGCCAGGTCGCTCCACTTGTCTCTAGGAGGTCAACCACAGCCCTTTCTGTCCCAATAATCTAAAAAATTAGGAAACTCAATTCACACTCAGTGATGCCTAATCCACCCTAAGTTCCACCAAAGTGAATTTTCCAGATCACTGGAGCTTACTTATTAGAATCCAAAAATTAAACATGATTTACAAAACATACTTTTCTAAAAGCGTTTAGAATATCTCTGGAGAGGTCCAAAAGAGATTGGTTCCAGAGGTCGTATCCATGGAGGACAATTGGGAGATGAAGGAATGGAAGAGGGAGGAAACCTTCTTTTCACCATGTACCCTTTTGTGCCTTTTGCATTTTGAGTGATGTACATCTATTACCTACGAATGTAAAACGAATGGCGCACTTCCTTAAATATAGCTGCTGAACCTAATTTAACTTTCTGTCTGGATCAAGGTCATCATTATTGTTTGATTGATTTGTTCCTAAATAGCATAATTTCCACAGAGGATATTGGGTGATAGGGTGATAGAGTCATTGACCCTTTCCTGAATGGCTCCCAAACTTCTGAGTCTCCAGAGGTTTGGGGTTTGGTTTACCCTTTAGATTTTCTCTCTCTTCCCCAACAGCCACCAGTTTCTGTTGTTCTCATCGCGACTCCTTACAGCAGTGGTTCTCAACCTTCTGGCCCTTTAAATACAGTTCCTCATGTTGTGACCCAACCATAAAATTATTTTCGTTGCTACTTCATAACTGTAATGTTGCTACTGTTATGAATCGCAATGTAAATATCTGATATGCAGGATGGTCTTAGGCGATCCCTGTGAAAGGGTCGTTCGACCGCCAAAGGGGTCGCGACCCACAGGTTGAGAACCGCTGCCTTACAGCAACCACTGACCTTCCTCTGACTCCCTCATTTGTTCTGATGAGACTTGGAAGTCAGATGATCGCAGGTGATAAATAGGATTCAGTGAGCGGAGATGGGAAGACGAGAATTCCAGGAGTTGTAATAAAGTGGATTAGGTTGAATGGTGTTCTAATCTTACACCAGCTTCCCTTTCTTTCACTCATAAATCATAGGGTGCTGAGCCTTCAGATGGCGGGTCCTTGGGCAGGGCAGGCCTAATGGACACAAGTAGTGACCTTCTGGAGGCAATGCCTAGGAAAACTAGAGATAACCGGTATCTCTCTGTCCTGGAAGACAGGAAAACTGCTAAGATAAAACCTAGGAGTTCAGAAAGTGACAAAGATCGGTGTCATCAATATGTGGACCTCATGATACCTTTTTTGGCCTCTCTGTGATTTCTCGGCTTATTTTTAGATTTTGGTTTAGATTTTTGCATGTTTTTTGCTTATTTTAGACTAGAGGCCCAGTGCACAGATTCGTGCACATTGGCGTGGCCTGCAGGGATCGGGACAAAACTGGCAATCCAATGCCACCTGCCATTCCTGCCTGCCGTTCCCGTTCATTCTGGCCCTGCTGCACCTGATGCGCCTGCTGCGGCTCCCGCCTAGTCAGTCCCGGTAGGGAGAGGCTCACACTGCCGCAGTGGCGCTCACCAGCTGTGAGCCCTGGGTCTGGCACCCGACGGTCAGTTGAGCGGCGCTCCCACTGTGGGAGCACGCTGACCACCAGGGGGCAGCTCCTGCATTGA